TCAGAAATTCGATTTGATTATAATATGATTCCATAAAATAGTTCTTTTGGTAAAGAGTTATCATATATTTAACAACCTATGTACATAATAAGTAAAATATAAAATGTATATCGTTTCATTACTTAAAATAATCTATTTTTGTATAAACTATTCAAATAAAAAAAATAGGTTGAGTAATATATTAAACTATAAATAATTGATTATTCCGTTTACGTCTAAGTTAATATTGACTCGTAAGTTAACAAATACTTTATTAAACTATAAATAATTAACTATTTCGTTTACGTCCAAATTGGTATTGACCTGCGAATTATGAAATTATTTTTTTTATTTTTAATTTTAAATAATTTTTTTTTTATTTTTCTTCAAGATACCATATACCAAATTTAAACCATGCAATAAACGTAATAGTTGCAAGTTTTGTCAATATATTATATTTCAAATTAAAATCATGCAACTAATAAAGGTAATAGCCGTAATATTTGACCAAAATGATTATGTACATTAACTACATTAATTTATGCGGGATTTTTCAAATGTTGGCAAAAAAAATTACTCAATAGTAAATACTTTAGGTGAAAAATCAATTATTTATTTATTTATTTATTTATTTTGCTGATTTATAATTGCTATTTCAAGTAAATACCATTGCCTTTTATATATTAATAGATAGATAATAAAAATTTAATTCATTAATACACCTTAACATGATCATTTTAAAGTTTTTCCATAAATTTTTGATAAAATTATATAAAATAAACGTTAAGAAATATTTATAAAAATATTATTTATAATTAGATAGTGCACTTTATATTACAAAATGTGACACTTTATAAAATAAGACATTGCACTTTATCACATCATTTATCTAAAAAAACACAAATATGCTAACGTACCAAAAATAATGTGTTGCACTTAATACAGTAATACGTTGCACCTTATAACACAACATGTTGCACCGTATACAGTAATACGTTGCAATATAGCGACCAAAACAGTCCAAATAAAATTCTCAATTAATTACAAATATTACCCATGTACTTAGTTGTAATAAGCTAAATAAAATTCCAATTGCAGGCTTTGCAGCTAGGCAGATATCAAATTTTCAACACAACAACCTCAAATACACCAACATTTTCCGGCCGCCCCCGCCGTTCAAGCCGCCGCCGACGGAAACTGTGAACAGCCCTGTCGTGGGATGACCAGTGTTTTAAAACGCGCATCGCGCACTGCATCGCGATTTGGTCCTTACATTGCGTAGCGTAAATAGCGTAGCGCATTGCGTAAGCTATTCGAGCAATTCACTTTTAATGCCAAAAATAATATATATAATCATACAAGCGAACAAATAATTAAAATGGTCTTAAACCATAAATTAACTTGGGCATTGAATATAAAAAATGACATTCATATATTAATTCTTCAAACAACCAAACCAAAGTCTTAATGTTTAAAGCAGAGACTCAAAATCTTAAAATGATCGGTGTTATCCAATTGAATTTAGCTATCATCGTCAATTCTATCAAAGTTATGGATAATTTCACTACAAAAAATAATTTGTACAATTTCACCAAATTATTGCATCTCCTCATCACTAGGAGAAACAATGAAGTGTTCATCCCATTTCACTTTTGAGCTTAAGAAACATAAACATCACATTATTCTAATAGTCCAAAAGGTCAATTATAACTATATTGATATCAATTTTTCAAATATTTTTTTTTCAAGATAAATATGAAACATGATCTAATAATCACTCAAATTCGCCATAGGAGAACTTACTCAATTTTGTGCCCTACGTTTTTTTTTTAGTTTTTATTATTTTATTTTTTATTTTTTGCCTATAAATAAGGATTGCCCAAATAGCGTGAGAAATAGCGCAAATAGCGCAAAATATAGCGTAAATTGCGTAAATAGCGCAAAATATAGCGTAAATTGCGTGCGCTTTTCTGGAACTGCGCGAAATTATATACGCTATGTCGCGTTTTTTGGTGAAAATGCGCTATAGCGCGCTACGTAGCGCGAGAAATTGCGCTATTTAAAACACTGGGGATGACACATCATCACTTTTCCGCTCCAGTGTTACAACAATGGAAAAATTGCGCAGTCCTGTCGACTACTCGTTCTCGGGGGAGGTTCTCGAAGTGGATCGACAGAGGACTTAACTGCCTGATGTGACTGAATGTGGGAGACGGCGGATCTATGTCGGGCTGTTTAGGACCAGCTGTTTGGGAGACGCCATCACTGGCGGATCTGTGAAGTGCTGATGGGGACCGGTCGCGGCGGAGACGACGTCTCCGGCGGATATGTGCCATGATGGTGGGGACCTGACGACGAGGGCCAGTGACGGCGGTGGAAATCCGGCGCGATTTTCTGACGAGAGGTCGTTTTAGTAACAAAGAGAGGGGGAGCGATGTGGTTTTTTCCGGTGGAGGTCAGTGATGTCGGGAGGCTAATCAGTTGCGGGCGCGACGGAGATTGTGGCGGCGAGAGGCGGTCCGGCGAGTGAGTGTGTGTGTGTGTCTATGGAAGATGACGAGGGAGGGGGTGGGGGTGAGGCACGAGCATCTCCAATGTATTGTGCATTGCTCCATTCCATTGCCACATGTCCCCAAAAATCCAAGGTGGCATGTAAATTTCTAGAAGTTTTTCTAGATGTAGAAAGACTTCTAGACATCTTTTATTTATATTAATTATTTATTTTATATATCTCACTCCACCAACTAATATTTTATGACACATGACAATTTATTCTACAATTGACATTCATCATTGGAGACAAATTATTTTTATTGTTTTCTCCACAACATACACATCAAAATAGACATTGTACCCAGGGGCGTAGCCAGAATTTTTTTAACCTGGGGCTGCTAGCTATTATTGGAACCTTGTAGACATGGTCATGGGCCGACCCAGCATGTCGGTTCGGCCCAAACCGACACAAGCAGACCCGTTGACCATGGTCTTGAACAAACCCGTGGTTTTGACCAGTTCGGTTCATGTACAATACTTTATAGTTTATACATTTTGAACATGCAGTTTTGGTTCTGAACTGGAACCGGAACTCGAGGTTCATTTTTTTTAAATATTATTCTAATTATTTTGTATTTTTTAATTAACCAGACGACCAGTAATCGACAATTCAATGAACCGACCCGTATATATGTTCGCGTCGGTTCATG